AACCATCTTTCCAAGCAGCCTCCATGTCTCCAGTGTCTTTTCCCCCACTTGGAGCCGAACCCAGAAGGACATTTCTTTCATCAATGAAAAAACATGATTGGCTGACATGCTGAACTATCTTCTAGGTGCCAACAAAACTGCAGATTTTGAACTTCAATGGCATGTTCTACTTTCTTCTCATCCCATCCCCTTCCATTTATACAGCTCCTGAAACATGAAAGCTTGCTGTTTGAATGTCATATAGTTCGACTTTCCAAAATCATAATTTTATCATGTCAAGCTAATAATCTGGGGAGTTGAGCAGCAGGAGTTGCAAAAAAGAAATGTGGAGCAAATCACTCTGTATGTTCTCACAATTTGTAGGTTTGCACCAAAGGGGAAAAAAATCCAGAGATCAACTGATGAAGCAATCTAGATCTACAGATCTAGTGTGTCTACAAGTAGTGTTCAACTTGCAACCACAAATGAGACCAGAACAGCTAGTTGATCTAATGATTAAAGGCATCAGGCTAGAAAACAGGAGACCACGAGTGACTTTGGGGAAATCATTTTCTCTCAGCCACTCACCTTACAGGGTGTTTATGAAAAAAATGGAAGGAAGGAAGGAATATTACGTATGTAATGTAAGTTCTAACTCAAGGTTATAAGTAATTTGATCTATTTGTAAAAATATAAAGCAATAAAGGCAGATATAAAAACACTTAATACAATAAATAAATAGAATTGTAACTTTGAATGTGAAATATACTATTGCATTTTGTTGCGTTTTTTCACTTATTTTAAGCATTTATGTATACATTTGATAATGTATTTTTGCATTTTGTTCCTGTAACTTGAAAAGCAACAAAAATAAAAATTTAAAAATGATTCTTTTCTGGTTTTCCATATTATCAGTGTCAATATATCTGACATTTTTCATCTCTCTCTTTACACCAATGTGGTCTTGGCCAGTTATTTAACCATAACCCCTTTGCAAGAACGATGCAAAAAAAAAGGTATTAAATCATTAAGTTTTATATCATTTTCAGGTTTAACATAGCTGTTATGACATGTCTATTTTTATCTTCTAAATTGCACAAGAAGATTTTAAATAGAGGCGCTACTCCAAGGTAATTAACGAGGGTGCAGGCATATTATATCTTATGATATATTTATTTAGGTCCGAGTCTAAAGTCTGTACGAGCATATTTTTCTTAAAAGGCTTTTTTTGGGTGACAAAGCCACGCAAAGCCATTGTTTTATCATGAAGACAATCGATGTATTTAATGTTGCGATGAATTATTGCTGTTGTAGCGAAGCGAAGATCCCATCGAAAAATACACGTTTTGGTAAGAAGAAATACTGATGTAAATATCTTGGTCAATTTATATACACTTTAGAGCAGTGGCAACTTTAAGACCTGTGGACTTCAACTCCCAGAGTTCCTCAGTGGCAACTTTAAGACTTGTGGACTTCAACTCCCAGAGTTCCTCAGTGGCAACTTTAAGACTTGTGGACTTCAACTCCCAGAGTTCCTCAGTGGCAACTTTAAGACTTGTGGACTTCAACTCCCAGAGTTCCTCAGCCAGCTGGCTGAGGA